AAATGAAACCACTGTCTTTAATCATGGTGTAATGGCTTTCTACATTTGTTACAGTTTCATTAAAAACCCATTAGCAGCTAATTTTTAGTTGAGCTGATGGATGTATTCGAAGCCAAGAGACGTTAAAGAAAAGGTAATTTGAGTCCAATGCGATGAGCTCTGTTCTCTTGAGCTTACATTCCAGTGGGGTCGTCATCAATGGGCCGAGCAGCTTAAGTGTAAAAGAAGTGGCTGCATACCATTTGACGTTACTGGAACTATCCCAAACTGTGACTGTATGTTTGAAACAGTGAGCCACTCTTCACGTCTCATTCCTCTTGGTGCCAGCTGGAAACCATTCTTATGGGAACCAGAGTCATCGCTGTTAAAACAAGCTTCAGACTAGCTGGTTGTGGATGAGATGAGAAGTTCTAGAATAAGCAGGAGGATGAAGAGGATGACAATGACCAAGAAGCAACTGTATAAAAGGACATAGATTGTAGATATAGAAGATGACAAAGAGTTGAAATGGAGATGATGATAAGTAGGAAGGAATAATGACAGGTGAAGGAACAAAAGTTGCAAGAGCAAGATAACACGAGGAGAGAGAAAATCAAGTAGCGCTGAGAACAGAGGCACTGCTTCAAGAGCAGACCAGTGTGCTCTCTGCTGAATGCGGGGTGTGTGTATCATGGCAGCAGGGATTGTTTTTAGTATTGTTCTGGAAAAACAACCAGAGACCAAACACACCCACAGTGTCTCCTATCACTGGCAGCCAGTATTAGAGAGGTTTTCTATTATTTCTTTATTATATGGCAAAAAATGTTGTGTGTGAGTGTTTTGTTAAGGAGGGAGAAGGTCTGATTGCTGGATCCTCTCCAGGGAGCGAGCTCTGTGGGCCCTGACATGGGGGACAGGGCCTCTGCTTGTCAGGCCCAGTGAGTGTGTCTGTGTTTGTGTGTGTATATGAGTGATTTGGAGGAGGCGGGGGTGGGGGGGAGGTCTGAGATAAGGAGCTATTGGGTTTCCTTCATTTATTTTCTCACTCAATAGGCGTTTGGCCTCCACTGCATGGCCTCCAATCTCCAGGCCTGCTGCTTTGATGTCAGCATGAGTTCGCCGGCAACCTGCAGAGGAAAAACAACAATAATAAAAAGTGTGTTTATCCAGCAATGATCTTCTGCATGCAGCCATTAATCTGCAGAAACTGTGTGAAATTGACCAGTTTTAAAAATGTTTGGGTTTCAAAGATCAGGCAGTTGCAGGCATGCAGGGTAGTTGACTGCTAATCCCTGCCAACATTTTTTCCTGTGTGTTCAACTGAAATTGAAAAATTGCTTTGTAATTTGTGGAGGGAAAAAAATAAAATGTCATATTTTATTTTTTAAGAAATGTGCATTGGGCAGTAAAAACAAACTGTGGCAATTTTGTTTTGCTTTAGGCCAACAGTTGTCACAGTGGAAGCCTCAAATGACAAGCAATTGCAGTAAAACCATTATTCTGTTTCCCCCCCACACACTTTACACTGAGTAATGCACATATTATTTCCAGTAGGCTAAAATTATTTTAAAGTGTGTGTTAAACTTATATTTGAAACAGTTTAAACAGATGCCTGGAAAACATATTCAATTAAAATAAAATTCAGTTGGGCAAATTTAGTTATTATGTCCTATTAGATGTCATCACATCAAACTGTTCAAATGTTAGCTTGCTGTAGCCTGAAATGGTCCACTTACCGGACAATAAAGGGTATTATTTTTTTATAGTTTTACTTGTTCACGATATACGTACACATTACATGGCCAGTGGCAATTAAGATTTTATTGGGTTCTGGTATCTGTGAGTTATAGCTTGTTTGTTTGTACGAGGACAACTGTGACAGTATCTGCAGAGGTGTTGTTTCTAATAGCTGGAGGTGATGGCGGGGTTTACCTAATGTGTTGAGTATCTCAGATGAGGGTCGACCCTCCAGACAGGCTCAACACACTGCCTCCCAGTCCCTTACTGAGCCAGACGTCTGCAGGGGGACAGAGGTCAGGCCTGGCCTTCCTGTGCCCTAACCCTCCATGGGTGCCCACTTACCCTCTGAGTAGGGGGTCCCCCTTGCCTGTCACTCACACTGCCAGGACCTGCTCCTTTTTTCTGTGCCTCTGTTCTGGTTTAATTTTCTCCAAGTCTCTCTTTCTGTCTTTTAGCTACTGTGTCTCACTGTCTCACTTTTTCTCACTCTGTTATTTTTTCCACTTATCTCTTTGTCTCTTGTCTCTCTTCTCCTTTTTTGCTACCATCATCTTTGGTCAACAGCTGAGTTGATATGCCTGCAGGGGAAGCAACCCCTCCTTTTCCTGGTCCTTTTGTCTCCCCCTTCTCTATCCCTTCATCCCTCCCTCCTTGTCCTGTGCCCTGCCGTGGCATTGGAGGGATCAGTTTACCCAGCAGCAGCTGAGGCAGGCTTCATTTGTCCCAGGGCTTCCCTCTGAAAAGGCATTTTTCGCCTCTGGAGAATTGCTCACTGCCCACAGTGACATTGAGCGCTTAATTGCGCGACTTCCAAATTTGGCAGTCTTGTTCTTTAGTGGCAGTTTGAGTTGTTGAACTCAATGTACTCTTGGCCTGCAGGGCCAGGCATTCCTTTAGGTATAGATATGAGAGTCTACTGGGGAGTCAAACTGTTTGTAATTCTAATGCATTCAAGTAGTGTATTGTGATGTAAACTAAACACCTCAACATGGGAACATGTCTTATCATTATAAGCTTACCTCATCGTAAAAACAGCCTTTTTCCTTTTTTATTTTATCTCTAAATATTTCAGATGCAATGTTTGAAGTGATGAGAAGCTAACAAATGAAGTGTGAATAATGAGAAACAAAATTTACATCTTATTATTTGCCAATCTCTATTTTTTGGAACCTTGATGAAGTATTTATTGTTCTTCCCCTCATGTTTACCAATTCCCACCACTCACTGATGGGGAAAAAACTGCCTGAATAGTGCAGCTCAACCGCAAAGGCCCTTACTGAAGTAAAGTGTAAATATTTCTGCCAGAGCCTCTCTCGTCTCTTTTGGCAATTGCATGTTTACATTACCGCACTAGGGGGTTACTTGCTTCTCTGACAGTCTGTCCACAACTGAAATTATGCAAAGTATGTTTAAAACCTAATCTTCATTACTTAACCACAAAGAGAGAAAGGGGTTCATTGTCATTAAATAGTGTCAGAACCAGGGAATGTGTGTTAATTGTGCGGGGTACGTAAATATACACTATGTACAACATGTGCCTTGCTTGGAAGATGTGGCTATGGGCTTTCCTTTGCTCATTTGAGTATGTGTGAATGAAGTATGTACGCATAGAGTAGCAAAATATATTTGGTTTTGACACCCTCAGTGTTTACATTTGTCAGGATACGGAGTGACTCCTGAGACACTCTGCCATGCTGATCTCCTGTTTAAATGCTGAACACATGTGTTCTTTGTCTGTATTGTCTAAGTAACTTATCGCCCGGTCTGACTGTGAAAAGGTTACAGTGCTGCAATAACCCCTAATCAATGCCATACTGGGGGTTAACTCACTCAACTCTCCACCTTTTTCCTGATTTCTCTATTTTTGGAATGGTTCTAATATATTTGATTCTTTTCTTCTTACCATCCTTTGTTGCAGGCGTATGTCTACTGTGAATATGAATATGAGGTATTTGTTGAATTACACATAGTAGTTTTAGAGGAGTAGAACTTTAGCTGTAGTAGTCATAGTACATATTTTGTGCTTTGATTTTTTTCTCCCTTATTTCTCCAAACTGATGATTTATGATTGAAGAGGTTTTTACAGTAGTGCTGGCTGTATTCCAACTCTGACCTCTGCATTCAAAAACAGATTTAACACATCCCATAATCTCTGATAATAAACTGTTGATTAAAAGCTGTGAACATGCAAGTCCACCCTAAGCTTGGAAACAAGACAGCAAACCACCACTAAAACTTAGAAACACGATGACCAAGACCCTCTGGAGAAGGTGACAATCTGCTTGTAGAAGTTTTACAAGTCCACAAAGTCAGTCTCTTTATTGTTAATGGAGCTTCTCCAGGGTTTGTTACTTGATGACATCAGATATGAGAGCCTTGGTTTTCTGTTTTAAGCTTTAGGAGAGTGTTTAAACATATTGCTATATTGCATATTGCTCTTGTAGTGCAATTGTTGATTTTCTAAGCTTAAGTTAAAATTGTACCTAGCAGTAGATCAGTCATTGGCTGTCAGTCCTGTTTTGTCCTCATTTCCCTTGTGTTTTAATTGCACCTCCTGTTACAGAGGGTTAAGGCACTCTACAAGCTAAACTAATAAATAAGCTCCTCAACCCAAATCTTGGATGATTTTGTTTATCTTCAGGCTCATCTCTGAAGGGGATGTCCATTTCATCGTCATTCCTACGCACACATAAACAGACACACAGATCTTGTACTTGCATTCCTTGGCTTAACAGGCTGCTGGTCTCTGAGTGCAGATGACATGTGCTGCTGTGGAGGAGAGACCTTCACCCTCATCTGAGGACCAGAGTTTATTTGTAGAGCCCATGGAGATGGTTGTTAAATGGGGATGGGAGGAAAGTTAGTGGGAAGGTTTGGTGTAAAGGGGAGCTAGAAACAGTGGTGTATAGTAGATGCCCTCTAATTGCTCCTCTGTTCATTATGGACACAGCCATGCAGGTGAAAAGATACTCATCTTACATGCACACCAATAATTGGATTATTATCAATAACCAGATACAGGTGACAGAGAAGTGTAGCTGTCAAAGCATTACATTAATACAGAGATTAACTTCGCCAACACCAGCACTGCCACCCTCTATTGTTTGCCCATACTACTACTGAACACTATAGTAAAGTGAAGTGTTACTATAATCTGGTTATTATTGAAAATAACTATTCTTAGTAAATCTCCATGCACTAGTTCTGTAGAGCTTTATGTAGAACCCTGTGTTTCCTTCACTACCTATCCTCAGGGGTGTTCTTGTTTGTTTTTTCATTAGGATGACCACGAGAGCGGCTCTAGCTCTACCAGTCGCAGTGTCTCAGACAGCTCCAAGGCCGTGGCCAAGCCCCGCCGCCTCCAGCAGGCTGCCCCCAGCGACCCGGACCTGCCCCCAGGTGAGTGATGGCCCTGGGGCCAGTGAGGCTATTCCACCTCCCTGCTTAGAGTATGACCACCAGGGCAGGCGCGGCCTCTGTGGGGGAGGATGGGGCCACAGAGTAAGACTGAGATTAGGACCTATTACACTATGGCAAATTTTTTCTTTTAGCCTTTCAGAATGCTAAAGAGACCAAATAATTGGATTTAAAAACACTGGCTTGTTGTAGCCCAGTGCCTGCAGAGGTCAGTGTCAGATTTTAATGTAGATAATACCTGTTTACATTGTGAGAAATATACTTTTTGGGAAGAGCTGTGTAGCACTGCATTTTTAACCAGTGTAAATCAACCAGGGGGAGCATGGGGGATGTGTCTGTGATAAATCACACAATGATGGCTCTTATCAACAAGGCCACTTGACCACATGCCTCCTACAGGGCCATGGATTCCATGCCTGCCTTACTCCAGCACTTTACTGCGCCTCACAAATAATGGCCTAGTTTGATTGGGTCTGGATAATGGCTTTCTAAAAATGTATGTGGCTTTTTCTTTATCAGTTTGTAACTGTATTTTAGAAAGACACAATCACAGACCTCACATTAGATAGAAAACTTTTCCGTTTATGCTGGCACAGACAATTTGAATCTTGTTTAAATGTATGTAGAAGTGTAAAAGGATGCACAGCCTCTGTAATCTAATAAAAATACTCAACAAACATACTCTAAGACAGGACACTGTGGAAAAAAACACGTTTCCAGAGAAAATGTCAAAGGTAAGACAGAAAGTGGCAAAGAGGAGACTAAATCGTAATGAAAAGATATGGCTTTTAGAGAGAAAAAAATGAAGAAAAATAAAGGAGAGAAATGGGGGTCTTGAGCTTTAAGAGCTAGGTCATAGTCTAACACCTAACCATAAGGCTCACTCCCAGAGCCCTAGTATGCATGAATGTATGAACCTACACTCCTGGCTGGTTGTATCTGGGGAGGATCCATTTCCAGGCCTGATGTTATGAGATAATATCTCTCCCCAGCTGTTAAAGCAGGGTGCCTCACATCCCAGCATCTCCCTATGGGCCTGCCTCCAACAGATCCCCCAGGCGTGTGTTTGTGTGTGTGTGTGTGTGTGTGTGTGTGTCTGTGTCTGTGTCTGTGTCTGTGTGTCTGTGCTTATGTTTTTTAGTGTATCTGTTAATTTGTGTGCACACCCAACATTGTCCCAGTGGTGGACCTTGTTTCAACCCATTACAGGCTGTAGAGACAACTCTGAGGTCAAAGGTTGCAGCACCTCAATAACAGTGAGGAAGCAGATGAATGCTGTAATCCCAGCCTTTCTAATTAAAAGGTAGAGGTTAAAAGGTAGATGAGGTAAAACTAACCTGCTATGACTCAGACATAGGATGTTTTCCTAAGAATAAGATACAAAACAAACCTGTCATGAATCTTTAATGTAGTTAAAGGATGTTTTTGGAAAGTGTGGACACATAACAGCATTTCATGGCAGTGCACATTCAATCATTAGCCTAGTGAGTACCTTATTTTGGCAAGTGATAGTCCACTATACAGATGGTGTTGTCATCTTAAGTAGCTTTTCCATTTCTGCCCAAAGAAAATACCTTATAATGTTCTCCATGCTGTATATCCTTAAAGATACTGAAATGCATATCGCTAGCCCCACTGTCTGCTGCAGCGTCTGTTTTGATACCACCACTAAAGAAGTCTGAAGAGTCACCAAAGGCAAAAACCTGAAAGTCCTACACATCGGGGCCTTAATGTATCTGTTATCAGCTGAGATTTAAGAGAGGCTGTCAAGAGCTTGTTCAAGCTCACTTACCATATTTGATCCACAAGGAAACTATTCACCCACTATGCAAATAACCGTTATTATATAGATATATAATATGCAAGACAGTACAACAAAAAAATAGGAAGCCATTAAAGGAAAGCTATATGTGTGTTATGTTTAATTCTTTATTTTCTTTATCTAGAGCATTTCAGCTTACAAAAATTTTTCAGGTGCATTACTATTTTAACACAGGCCTGCTGCATGCTAAGTCGAAACTGTCTTATGTCAGAAAAACTAATAAGAATATGAAGTTTGGGTTGGACTTGCCACTGGCAAAAATTCAGTTTTACAGGAGTAGGAGTTGGATTTGGGGTAAAAAACAGGTGACTGGAATGTGCCTTGTCTGGTCTCCATTCTTATTCTTTAAGCCACAGCCTTGCTTCCCAAAATTTGAAGTTGGTTGCACTTCAATCATTCTGTCTCAGAAAGCAAAGATAGACACAGTCAAGCAGATGTGTCTGGATGGGTGGTAGGACTGTGTGTGTGTGTGTGTGTGTGTGTGTAAAGAAAGACCTGTGTTAACAGTAAGACCATGGCAGCGTAATGGCTACTCTTACCTCTTCGTCAGCATCTACGTTGACAAACCTCTGTGTTGCGTCTGCTCCCCTCCCCTTCAAAACAACCAAAACAAAACACGGCTGACACTAAAAAGCAGCCACCAGCAATTATCCAGTCATTTGGCCCTAAGCTCTCACATGCTGAATGAATTTATCCTCCCTGTTCTCCCTGTGGTGGAAAATAGTGATGTTAATTCATATGCCATGGGATTGGTAGCCACACAGAGACCAAAGACCAAGTGCTTCCACCTTGGGCGATTCTGTGAGTGATTATGTTTACGGCTGCTTGTGGGGGACCAGCGGCCACTGTTTGTGAGAACCGCATTTCTGCGTTCCAGGGTAATCCTGCTTTGGCCCTTTTCACACTGTTGAAAATGTGTTTTGTTTTGTATGAGTTCAAAGAGATTTAATAGTGGCAAGCATAAAAGTTTAGCCTGGTACCTGTGAGTTGGGTGGATCAAAGTTATACTCAAGATTTGCTGTATCAAAGCTGGACTCTCCTAAAGAACCACAAAAATGTTCATTTCGCATGTGCATGAGGACAGTTAGTGTGAAGTGTCTTTGCAGTTTGATAGTTTTTCTCTGCAAATTCTTTTTGTCACATTATTTTTGACCGTTGTTTTGATTAAAATGTTAATCTGCATCTGCAAGCATCATATTAATTAGTATAGGTTCTTCCATGCCTATAGTTGACTTGTGTAGTTATCCACCAATGTTTTATATCAGCCTTTTCCATCAAGAGCACAAGAGCATTTAGGGACCATTTCGTCTGTTTTTACCTATTGAACAAATACATTGAGCTGGATCACAAAATATGGGCTCCAAATTCCAGTCCTATCCATTCTTATTTGGTTGGATAATAATACTCAAAGCAAATTTTGATTTCTCAAGGTAACAACTGCAGTTTGGAAGGTTGTGTTGTTTCCCATCCTGCCACAAAAGCACAGAATTTACATTTTACTTAGGCTCAATTAGGTTTGCATGTTGGTGTGTGTGTTATATGCATGTGTATGTACTGTTATGTTAGTGCATACACCTAAATTTATATGACAGATGTGTGCTTCGGTTTCTTTATGTGTGTCCAAGAACTGGGCGTGCATGCATGGTTGTGTAAGTATGCGTGTGATTGGAGGAGATTGCATGGACTGAAATGCAAACACACTCCTGAGATAAATCCATGGTCCAGTGCTACTGCTGTCCTGGTACTGGGGTCTTTGCTCAGAAAATAAATACAGCAGCTGTTCTGGTATTACTGTGAAATGCTACTTATGGATAGAGAATATCCCATACTGGTAAAGGCTGGAGCTTTCTCCAGCTGGAGCTTTCTTCTGTTCTGGAGACCTGCTGTACCATGCATGGTTGGGTTCTGTGAATCTACAGTTTTACTATAAGAGGCCCTAGAGCTAATAGAGTAGCTAAGATAATCAAGTAGCGACCTAATTGCCTGCAGTGTATCCATGGTGGAAGTGAGATCCTTGTACCACTATGTTTACGTTCCTGGTATTTTCTATTTTATAGAAAAAATGTAAAAAGAAAAAAAAATTGAACTATACTCAACAGGGTGTGCTATGTCCCACAGTAGCTACCATGTATTCTCTTTGCTACATTGCTAACTCTGCTAATTACATTTAAGAATAACACACACTCACAGTACATTTATTGTCTGATGGACTTGTCAGTCTTTCTCACCATGGCTAATAACTGGCAAGGCTGATAGCTGCTAATACTTTCCATATATAGGAAAAATAGTGAGCATGGACAGTATAGTGTTTCTTTCCTGTATTGCACAGAAGAGAGTACTTCGCCTGTTCTGAGATCACATAAAGGAGCTGGTTTTTCCAGTCATTTTATGGTTGAACAGTTTTAAGTGGGTTCCTTCCCTGTGGGCCGCAGCACAGGTGCTGGCTGTGTCAATTGTTTACAGAAGTTCAGAGCAGTGCGATGGCTCGCAGAGAGACGGATCGGGGCCCTGGACTTTTTGTCCGAGGCAAGAAGGAGGTCTAGCAAGTGTAAGAGAGTGCAAGAAAGACACTCTGACACGGGTAAATTAGATCCAGAGAAGGAAATAGCAGGAGGTAAAGTGCTGGTTTTACTGCCCAGGCTGCAGGTGCGACAGCAGCTTTCTGACTGACCCCAGAACCACAGGCACACACACACAGCCACATTCATGCACGCAAGAAAGCAGCCAGGCGCACACTCAAACGCAGACAAGCACATGCATGCATGCAAGGCCACGCACAAATGTCACGAACACACATTGCGTTTATGAGTTGAGTTTATATTATGTCATCCTCTCTTCCTGCCACTCTGTTTGGTCAGGCAGCAAACTCATGAGAATTTTGTCAATTGGATTATGCTAATGCGTAGTCGGGCCTGTGTACAAGTGGCAGAACAGTTAACCAATTCATATAAATATTTTCATCAACAGCACCATTTAGTTCTGCCTAATTATCGGTTCTGTTCTGCCCTGGGCCAGGCATGTAGATACAGGAAGACAAACATTTGGTTTGGAAAATAAGGGAAAAGCATTAAAGGTTTATATGTTTTAACTTGTAGTGACTGTGTTTAACAGTACATGGGAGGAATGAATAATGCCATTGGTCCTGTGGTTAGGAGGATTTATTACTGTATATTTTCATATTTTATGGTAGAAACTCCCCTGTCTGTAATATTTTAAGTTCTTTCTTACTTCGTTGAGTAATGACCTTAGCATGTATGTTTTTCCTGCAAAGCTTCTGTTTCTGGGTGTTACTGTGGCCATTAGGAGGTACCAGTAACACTGCAGGATGGCTCCCCCAGCTCTGCTGAAACCCAATCTATCGGACTGCTCTTTCTCTCCTGCTCGCTCTTGGTTGCTACATCCCTCTGCCTGTTCACCACAAAGCCGCCGGCCCCCACTTCTTACCCTGAACAAAAAAATCTATCTCTGTATTCCTGTTTCTTTTTCATTTGTACAAAATTGATTTCTCTAGCCCTTGCTCTCCATCACCACAAAATGTCAAAGTTCCTCTCACTCATTCTATTCATATCCCATAATACATCAACATTTTGAAATTAAGTGATGACATAAACTTGTCCAACCACCACATTATAAAATTAATGTGTACGGAGTGTTTTCATACAGGTAGCCCATTTGGTTGTTTTTTTTCTTCACATTATTGGCAGAATGTGTCTCTTATTTTCCAATTCAGGCATTCCTAAGACCATATCTTTTATAAATATGTATAAAGTTCTGTATTTTGTATGTGTAAAGGCATGTGTATGCTAATCCAATGAATCATGCTTATGTTTAAGTGAACATTGAGGCTCCTCAGTGGTTTAACAGGCTTGGGAGGGATATGTTTAAGGCAGCATGTGCATAGTTTTTGGTTAAACAGGACTTAGCATTTGAGAGGAGAGCTCTTCAGAGATTCATAAATTCACCTAGGATTTGTAGCGCTGCTCAGACAGGGTGAGGAGTAAAAATGTTTTCTTATGGATATTTAGCTTCTTTCACTTTACATGTCCAAGGGATAGACTGAGGCGAAAAATAACATGTCAGAACCTCCTCTTATTTACGAGCCAATGAGGATGGGGGGGTCAGTGGTATTGAGCCTTGACTTTAAGGGAATGTGGCCCTGGATTTTACTCTTTTAAGGTATCTCAGCAATAAGGTAATGTGTCCTGATATGCTAGAATATATGTGCTTATGTAGCTACTATGTCCCCCTGTATGCATGTGTGTTTGTTATTAGGTAAGCTTTTTGTTTATGTTTTTATGTGGACTTACTGTGCAGTTTAAGATGTTTCTCATATATGTGTTTGTAGGTTACGTGCAGAGCCTGATCAGGCGTGTGGTGAACAACGTGAACATTGTAGTGAACAACCTGATCCTCAAGTACGTGGAAGATGACATTGTGCTGTCAGTCAACATTACCTCAGCAGAGTGCTACACTGTGGACGATATATGGGAGAGGGCCTTCATGGACATCACTGGTGAGCAATGGCTGCTTACATTCCTTGGTAGTGGGATTAACTAGTAAATCCACTGAGACAAGAACCTATATACTACAGTAAGTTTTTAATTTAGTTAGTTCAAACTGAGGTCAAACAGACATATTAGACAAGTTTAAACATGGCTCTTTGTGTAAATGCCCAATGTCAGCTGCCAGAGTAGTCTCATATTCAGACTCCCTTGTCTGATTGGAGCATGTGGAAGTCCAATGCAGAGTGGGGCTTTGACACTGACAAGAGCTCACATTTAAAACCACAAAAGATGAATGAGGTAGGGGATTTTAAACCTGAGCATGCCACTGTAAATAGAAAAGTAGGAGGTGCAGTCCTTGTGGAACTTTGCTTTGATGGCTAAATGGTTCATGTGTTTTGTTTATTTTTGGGGTTTTAATTCCTTGGTAGAGACACTAATTACTTGTAGGGAAGAATGAGGATATCAAACCAAGAATGCACATTCATATTGGAACCATAGACTGTATATAAAGATGGATGGTGCATCTGCACTTCCTCCCACTTTACAAAAATGAAGCCAAAATATCCAGGATATGAGTGCTGCCATTTTGCGCTGGTGAAGACATTTGGAGCCAGAGTCCAGGCTGTAGTTTTTGGAGAGTGGATCCAGGGATATGAATTCCCGCCCATATACCCGACCAACTCAGACCCAGTGGCCCAACTCAAGCACCTTGAATGACACATACAGTTGTCAGTCATGACATCACATCCTCCTTTTATAGCATTAAATAACTAATTAAAACCAATTTATCAGAAAAATGGACACTTGAACATGCATCAGCAGGATAAGAACTATCTAAAATGACAGGAACCATCTTTGGAAAAATTTATTTGATGTGTACTTTAAATTTTTAGTTTGGCCTACGCCCCATTCGCGAACATAGTTAAGGCAAGGTTTATGACCTATGCTGCAGCGAGCCACCAGAGGGCGATTGGGATATTTGGGAGCTGTCATGTTGCCCATCTTTTCATACAGTCTGTGATTGGAACACTTGACAAGAGCAAGATCAAAATAATCTTGCTGACCAGTCCTTTTTACCTTTGACATTACCTGCCCTATTGTTGTATAATGTTTGTCAGAGGTCGTCAGTGACTTGTTGATCTGCTAGTCTATTGCTTTTACCCAGTCTCCAGTAGAGTAGTGTTTGATGGATGGCTCTGACTAGAGCTGCGAATATATAACATAGACAACCACAGACTCCATGGAACTCTTTGATGACAAACATTGATTTGTCACATTGTTGTGCTCTGCATTAAGTGTTGAAGCTGTCCTTTGAATATATGTTGTTCTTCAATGATGCAGATCTAACAGGGAGTTTTGTGTGGCACAAACCTGGCATGCTAGGCTTTTCCTGAATCTTGCAGATGTTTCACAACAACAACAATTAACTTTTATAATCTTTCTTGCTAAAGGATTCCTAGTAATTACACTTTGAAGCTCTGGCGCAGTACTCATTTCTGGGGTTCTCAGGTTTGTGCCAGAGAATTCCATTTATTTTAAACCTGACCTGTCATCATAACCCTGAAGAACAAACTGGTTCTTTCAAGTCACAAAAGCGTATCAACACAGAAGTAGTCATTTTCAGTCAGTGTTATCGCTGTGGAATTTCTTGTTAAGGGAGGCCATTCCAACATGTGCAGCAAGTAGTGGTTACAACAGTAGTTACTGGCACTGTTTAGAGAATGAAATAATTCTGGGAATGATGAGTCCTGTTATCAGTCCGTCAGGGGTGAGTGAGTCAGTGACAACTGAGAATCTGATGATGTGTGATGATCTAACTCTCTCTCACACACACACACACATGCACACGCACACAAGCACAAACCACTTGGTTGTACCTCTTGTAATTGTTAGTACACGGCAGTTCTGTGATGTCGTAGTGTCATCTCCCCAGATTCCCTAAATCACAGATAATGAGGATTTACTGTCAGGGCCTACTCTCTGTTAGTGTGTCTGTAGTTGCCTTGGTTTGTGTTTAATGATACCTCTTTGTGGGTGGGCATTTCTCAGTGTGCATACATGTCTAAAGCATGTATGTTGAAATGTTTGATTTTTGTGTCAAATGTAGTGGGTCAACCTATTATGTGTTACATGCAAAATCATGTACGTTAATTTTTGTTTTCTTTTTTCTCTGTGAAGCTCCGGAGTTGGTCCTAAGGAAAATGATCAACTTTGCTGACTGTACTGTGTGCTTGGACAAGCGGAATGCCAGTGGCAAGATCGAGTTTTACCAAGACCCCCTGCTGTACAAATGCTCCTTCAGGACACGTCTCCATTTTACCTATGACAACATCAATTCCAAGATCCCATCTGTCATCAAAGTGAGCACCTCCAAATTTTAGCACTAACTCAGTAATCGTCATTATCTTCCCAAATCTCAAGATCTAGAAATGGGTCTTGTATTAATGTAATTTTGGTATCACCCAAACATATGATACATTTCAGTGATGAAAATGTTTAAATTTGTCATACCAGTTTAAAGTTAGAGGAACATGTGACTTACTTTTGTTAGGTTAGCTGTTCTCAGATCAATAACAGGATAGTGACTCATTTCAGTCCATTGTTCTGAATATGTATGGAAGACAGCGGTTTGTTTTTGCAAGACACAGTGTGTCACTGTAGTACTTTGAGTATTTTTTTATTTTGACTCAGGTGGTCTCTAAAGAGATTTGACTTTTATCAGCATCTCAGTTAATTTTGGCCTGAAAAATGCCACGTTGTTTCATTGTGGTAGGTTTGACGAATGTGCTATTCCTATCTTGGCCAATTTAATCAATGTTTATTCAAGAACTAGTCAACCATGTTTATATAATTGAGAACAATCGGTCCAGATAACTATCTCATGTCATGAAGGAATAGCTTTTGGACTATGCCACTGATGTTGAGAATCAATCTTAAATTAGCTTAATTTCAAAACAGTTGTAATTGTTTTGTTTATCAAAAAGTAGTCCTCTCATCAGGTAATGATTACAGGCAGTCACCATCATTTTTCTACTCATTTTCAGTAGAAAAGTGGAAGATGTTTGTTGAAAATCACAGTCTTAGCTGTCTTGTTCTCTAATGTGGTAGAGATTTGTTTATGTTGTCTGAAGTTAACTATTTCCAATGGAAAAAGTGGTATCTAGTTGCTTTTGCTGATACATTTTTGACCTCTAAAACCCTATGTTAAAATGGGATTTTCTAATCTCTTGTACAGTCCAACCAGAAAATTGATTGCGGCTGTCTTTGGTTTATGTTTGTCTGTATTGAGTTTGTCATCTCTCCACTTTAAAGCTACAGCATGGTACATTTAATTCAGGCCCATTTATCTGTTAAACAAATTTTCTCAACAGGCCGAATTAAAGCAGAACTGACTCCTTCCAATCTACAAATAGTCAGTAACAAGCTGTGTGGTTTAGTAACTGCCAATAAAGTTTTCATGGTGTGCCATCAACAGAATCACACATAAAAGATTTGCTTAATTTAGAGTAGTTGTATCTGTTACACCATGTTAAGCATTTACATTACTAATACCACTTTTGACTGTATTCTGGTGCCTCTTCTGTTATTTCTAACTATTAACACTGTATAATACAAAATGTACAATACAAACCCCTCTCCCTAAATGAAAAGTTCTGCAGCTGCTGTAGATAATTACAGTAAATACACTGACTCACATTGCATGTCTTGTGTACGTACATTTCTTTCCATTTGGACCTGACTTCTTTTATCCTGCTATTGTTTTTATATTATGGAATGTATCTACTTCCTTTTTGTTACTCTGTGCAGTACGTCTACTTGTTTTTAGACTGTAATTTGTGGTTTGTAGCTGTAGGTCATCATATAACTTTGTTTTCACAGAAGCAGAAATTGCCTCTTCCACATGCAACTCTCAGCATCCAACAGTTGGCCAAAGGGGAATCCATACTAGTTCCTACAAGGCCTGGGGCAGCGCTCCCCCTTTTTTTTATTAAACATTCCTATTCACATTAAGTGGGAGCCCACGAGAAGTGGTTGGGCCTGTAGCCCATTTCACATATAAACATGTAATTTAGCAAATCATATTTCAAAATTTAAACAATCTCTCATGCTTTTTTTCCTCCATGTTTTCTCAGATCCAGACCATGGTGGAGAGCCTGAAGTTGTCCATTACTGATCAGCAGCTGCCCATGTTTATCCGCATTTTAGAGCTGATTATTGCCCTCTACTATGGAGAGATCGGAGGACACAAAGAGGGCGATGGGGAAGAGGGCAGTGTTCATGTCAGGGAGGCTGGAGCAATTTTACCTGGTGAGTGAGGTCTCTTAGAGAAGTTATTGACAATTCTTTCTCTGAATTTTTTTTGTCTGTTTTTATGCCTCCACTTAAAGGAGCTCTATGTCAGAAATCTAAAGCAAATAGTCATAAAATCATCCTAATATGCCACAGAGACTAAGGAATAATGTTCATATAACATACTGATCTCACCAACAACAATAGTACAGCCAGAATATTCGCATTTAAAAAATTTTTTTTACGGTCCGCAAATCATGTTTATGTTTTGAATTTGTGTTTTGGCCTGTTGCGCCACCCACCGCCGTCTACCAGTCACGCAGTCAGTAGAGTCTCAGCATCAGCTACAGTTACGACTGAGCTACAGCAGCATGGCAAGCAGCATTAGCAGTGTCCCGGTACATAGCATTAGCAGCCGGGTCCTCCTCAGCTGTATCCCAGCAGCAGCGTTAGCAGCAGAGAAGCCGGACTTGCTTGAACGGTCAGCTGGAAAACCGAAGATCAAGGACGCGGCGACGCGGCCTTGCCATGGCAGCCGCCCGTGGGCAAACAAATCAGTCTCCAGCGTGCCGCTGTCCAGCAACCTCGAATCTGTAGGGGAGGGGGAGCGGACACGACTTGCGGCAGTATTTTGAATTTGAGTGCAGTAACCGTTTTGGCCACATTCTTACATACAGTGCCTTTAATGGACAGCTGTGGCCTTAGGTATTATGTTTTCCGGTTGTCCATCCATCTCATTCATGTGAACCTGATATCTCAAGAACACCTTGAGTCAGTCTTTTCAGATTTGGTGCAAATATCCACCTGGACGTAAGGATGAACTAATTAAATTCAGGGGATCAAAGGTCAAGGTCACCTCACACCTCACAAAACACATTTGGCTGTAACTCAAGAATTCATATGTCATATGTCATTCAGATGTCTAATAGAATAAAGTGATTAAGTGATGACATTTTATATCCACATGTCAAAAGTCAACTTCACTGTGACATCATAATGTTCTGCAGAAACACTTTTCTGGCCATAGAGTGCCGAAGTCACGCCCCTTCCGGTGAAGCTCATGGGACCTTAGATCGGAAAAAATATGAATGGCAGTGAATGAGGAGAGAAATATTATCTTTTGGTCCCGTTTGAGTTGTGACATGAAATCCAAATATGTCGTTAATGAATTTAAAACATAAATTTTAAGGTCAAGAAAGTCATACTTTGTGGTAAAACTGTTGAGATATAAGCTTTTGAAAAAAACCTAATTAGAAAAACTACACAGGAGGCGGTCGCGTCTGTGACGTCATAGCTTTCGCTCGCTTCCTGCAGCTTGGAGTGACAGCAACCTGGCACAAAACACACAGACATCTTCAATCATAAATCAATTAATCATCAAACAGTGGAATTTCAGCGGGGAGGCCAAGCTGCAGGAAGCGAGCGAAAGCTTTGACGCCACATACGCGACCTCCTCCTGTGTACTCTTGAGTCTTTCTAATTAAAAAGCTTACAGTACAGGCCAAAAGTTTGGACACACCTTCTCATTCAATGCGTTTTCTTTATTTTCATGACTATTTACATTGTAGATTCTCACTGAAGGCATCAAAACTATGAATGAGTTATGTACTTAACAAAAAAAGGTGAAATAACTGAAAACATGTTTTATATTCTAGTTTCTTCAAAATAGCCACCCTTTGCTCTGATTACTGCTTTGCACACTCTTGGCATTCTCTCGATGAGCTTCAAGAGGTAGTCACCTGAAATGGTTTTCCAACAGTCTTGAAGGAGTTCCCAGAGGTGTTTAGCACTTGTTGGCCCCTTTGCCTTCACTCTGCGGTCCAGCTCACCCCAAACCATCTCGATTGGGTTCAGGTCCGGTGACTGTGGAGGCCAGGTCATCTGCCGCAGCACTCCATCACTCTCCTTCTTGGTCAAATAGCCCTTACACAGCCTGGAGGTGTGTTTGGGGTCATTGTCCTGTTGAAAAATAAATGATCGTCCAACTAAACGCAAACCGGATGGGATGGCATGTCGCTGCAGGATGCTGTGGTAGCCATGCTGGTTCAGTGTGCCTTCAATTTTGAATAAATCCCCAACAGTGTCACCAGCAAAACACCCCCACACCATCACACCTCCTCCTCCATGCTTCACAGTGGGAACCAGGCATGTGGAATCCATCCGTTCACCTTTTCTGCGTCTCACAAAGACACGGCGGTTGGAACCAAAGATCTCAAATTTGGACTCATCAGACCAAAGCACAGATTTCCACTGGTCTAATGTCCATTCCTTGTGTTTCTTGGCCCAAACAAATCTCTTCTGCTTGTTGCCTCTCCTTAGCAGTGGTTTCCTAGCAGCTATTTGACCATGAAGGCCTGATTCGCGCAGTCTCCTCTTAACAGTTGTTCTAGAGATGGGTCTGCTGCTAGAACTCTGTGTGGCATTCATCTGGTCTCTGATCTGAGCTGCTGTTAACTTGCGATTTCTGAGGCTGGTGACTCGGATGAACTTATCCTCAGAAGCAGAGGTGACTCTTGGTCTTCCTTTCCTGGGTCGGTCCTCATGTGTGCCAGTTTGGTTGTAGCGCTTGATGGTTTTTGCGACTCCACTTGGGGACACATTTAAAGTTTTTGCAATTTTCCGGACTGACTGACCTTCATTTCTTAAAGTAATGATGGCCACTCGTTTTTCTTTAGTTAGCTGATTGGTTCTTGCCATAATATGAATTTTAACAGTTGTCCAATAGGGCTGTCGGCTGTGTATTAACCTGACTTCTGCACAACACAACTGATGGTCCCAACCCCATTGATAAAGCAAGAAATTCCACTAATTAACCCTGATAAGGCACACCTGTGAAGTGGAAACCATTTCAGGTGACTACCTCTTGAAGCTCATGGAGAGAATGCCAAGAGTGTGCAAAGCAGTAATCAGAGCAAAGGGTGGCTATTTTGAAGAAACTAGAATATAAAACATGTTTTCAGTTATTTCACCTTTTTTTGTTAAGTATATAACTCCACATATGTTCATTCATAGTTTTGATGCCTTCAGTGAGAATCTACAATGTAAATAGTCATGAAAATAAAGAAAACGCATTGAATGAGAAGGTGTGTCCAAACTTTTGGCCTGTACTGTATATCTCAACAGTTTTACCACAAAGTATGACTTTCTTGACCTTAAAATTAATGTTTTAAATTCATTAACAACATATTTAGATTTCATGTCGCAACTCAAACGGGAACAAAATATAATATTGCTCTCCCCATTCACTGCCATTCATATTTTTTCCGATCTAAGGTCCCATGAGCTCTACTGGAAGGGGCGTGACTTTGACACGCAGTCCTCTTTTCACAGCTGAGGGCCCTCACATTTGTTGAAACTGCTGTGCTGTAGCTGCACATTTCTACCCATGTACCAATTAAAGGATGCACAATGCAAAACAAAAGCAAGAAAGTCAAATTTTCCTACAGCCATTATTCTGTTCTATCAAATTAATTTGGAAATGATATATTGAGGTCTCACAGCGATGTAGCATGTGTGTCAGTGTAGTTCCTGCAGCAGTCATATTTCTCAGACAAAATGTGGTTGAAAGCTCTGAAGTGGTTAATGAGCCATCAGACCATGCACAAAGCTTTGAAGCTTTTCCTTAGACAGCGTTTTCATCTCATGACGCTCTACATGTTGCCCTGTTCTGTTCACGGGCAATGTCTGTCCATATGCTGCTGTTGTTCCTAAACGGGACATTTAACATCACTTTGACCATGGTGTGCGCTCCTCCTGCTTTTTCCACAAACAAAAGCTGGAGCGTGTAACTCAACACAGACCGTTGTCGTCAGGCCTGATCCCCTCCATGTGGATAGAGGCAGGAGAGAGGAGGATGAAGGGTAGACACAGGGATGAATCAAACACAGGCCCATCTCTGTCTTTCTGATTGGAGCACCACATGAAATCACACTCCCTACATCCAGAAGCCGAGCAAAACACACACATGCAGGCAGTTTCTTGCATACCAAATACAGACACACACACACACAATCTCACGAATATACATAGACTTTATACTTTTAATAGCTGCAGCCACCCCCTCAAAAAAACCCCACCTCATTCCCTGAGCGCCCATCTCATCTCTCCCCAACTGCTCATCCTCATCTCAGCCAAATAGAACAGGATCGAGTCACAGGTCCCGCTGGGCTAAATCAGCCTCTGCAGCACCGGGAGCAAATTATGGTGCAGGGGAAGTGGTGGGCAGAGGGGAAGCAGGCAGCCCAACACAATACAGCCCATTCCCTCACTCCCTCTAACTCGCTCCCTGCCTGTTGGCCTGGAACTTTTACTGCAAGTTGGCGCAGCTTCCAGTTCAGTGTCCAATGCCAGATGTAAGAGTCGGTGTCATGCTACTGCTATGCAGAGCCTCTGAGAATGAATTAGTATCCCATCACAAAAATATACAAGAGGGGACCAGCTCTTGGAACCTGAGCGGCCCCAGATCTTGTTATGCTGGAAGTAATCGACAGAGTGAAGAGGCTTTTTTTTTTTG